ATTTGATACAATCCAATACATAAAAAAATTTAAAGAAATTAAAACAAGGAAGGCGGAAGTTTTTGGGAGAAAAACAGCTCAGAATCGGAAGGAGGGAACCCACCCACGGGATCAAGCTCCATTCGTCTCCCTCACCATTCTTCCCAAAAATCCCTCTGTTCAGAAGATTACCTAAAGCAAGAATACCCTTTGTTTTCCCGCCTCCAGCGAGCAGAATCGATCTTCTTCTTCCTTTCAAAACCAGATCTCAATTTGTCTTTTGTGGATGGTGATTGCTAAGTTGGAAAACACCATCCAACCCCAGTGCAATACCTTGGCCGAGTTTTCTAATTAGTTTTTCATTGCTTGCAGCTGAATGTTTACAACGAACGCAAAGCATTGGCATGTTCCCTGAAAGACTCGAAGACAGCAATTGAAGAGCTCAATAGGCTTTCCTCTGGGGTTATCCTCTTTGTGATCATCATTGCTTGGTTACTTATAATGGGAGTTTTAACAACCAAAGTACTTCTCTTCATTTCATCTCAGCTTTTGCTTGTGGTATTCATGTTTGGCAACACTCTCAAGACTGTATTTGAAGCAATCATATTTGTATTTGTGGTCCACCCTTTTGATGTTAATGATCGTTGTGTCATTGATGGAGTATAGGTAAATCCCAAACCTCATAGCTCGTATTTTTCTCTATATTACTTGAAGATTATCTTACTTCTAACTTGACATATTAATTCTTTACAGATGGTAGTTGACGAGATGAATCTTCTAACAACTATCTTTTTGAAATATGACAAGGAGAAAATATACTATCCAAATGCTGTTTTGGCCACCAAGCCAATTGGCAACTTCTACAGGAGTCCTGAAATGGGTGATTCTATAGAGTTTGCTGTTGATATTTCCACAACAGTAGACCAAATTAAGGCTCTTAAAGAAAGAATTGAAATGTATGTGAATCCTTACTTTCTCTGTTCCCCCATTTCTTGTTATGTACTCTTTGTTAGATGATTTTCTCCCTTGGATTTCAGGTATTTGAAGGAGAACTCTGAGTTGTGGCAACCTGAACATAGTGTGGTGGTTAAAGATTTTGATGATGTGAACAAAATGAAAATGGCTTTCTATTTCACTCACAAACTGAATTTTCAAAACTATATGAAGAGAAATGCCCGACGATCTGATCTAATCTTAGAGTTGAAGACAGTTTTGGAAGATCTGCACATTAAATACCATATGCTGCCTCTCCAAGCTCAGTTCATCGGGCTGGGATTTCCACCTCTCCCTCGCTGAGTTGCTGCCTTGATAAATTTGCATCGGACCATGTAGATTGGGAGGCCAATATAGCAACATGCAAACTGAAATGCTTGCTAAGGTCTTTTCCTGATGGGGATATGTTTGCCTAGATTGAGAAAGTGCTTAATTCTATCTTTGTTTTGTTTAAAATAATATTTGCCCTTATGTGGACATGTTGTCTCATTTAATGGATATAGTGCTGTTTGTGCCAAAGAAGTCAAAACCATACAGTATCGATCGATATAGTCAGTATGTATCGGTTTTAAAAGTTGATCGAAATGGTATAATATTAATTTTTATTTCGGTCAAAATTTGATGTATCGATCGAAATTTCAATGTACCGGCTGATTCATCGAAATTTCGGTGTACTGGCCGGTTCATCGAAATTTCGGCCAATACACACTGCAAATTAAAAAAAAAAAGGATTCCCTAGCCCAAAACGACGTCGTTTTGGGCTAAGGGCTTTTTCATAACCTGCAACTGCAATACACAAAAGTCCGCACAACTCAATTCAAATTTAAAAAGGTAAATTTCATTTTTGATCCTCAACTTTAATGTCATATATAATTTTTATCCTTTAACTTTTTTATGTACTTTTTTAGTCCATTTTTCATTTTTT